ACTTTTCCAACCCCCCCCCCCCCCCTTTTTCTCTCTTTCAATTTCAATTTAAGAGTGCTTTATTGGCATGACAAAAATTATACATTTGTATTGCCAAAGCAATTGCAGCTGGACTGCTTACAAATAGTACACATGTATTAACAAAGAAAAAGAATAATAGTAATAATAATATATAAAGTATTAAGCATGTAGTGCAAAATGAATTACTAATGTATGCAAGTATATAAACGAAGGAAAAATAAAATAAGGTATTAGACATTTACAGAAGCAAAATATACATCTAAGTAATATAATACAGTAATTTGGCATAATATAATCTACATGTGCTGGAAACATCAGATCAGGGCAGGGTGAGTGTTTTCTCTTCTGTGGTGACAGGCAGACACACATTGAGCAGCAAACACACAGCAGTTCTTCTGTTCTCCTAACAGATACGGCAGTTTCTCCTGGTTTGAAAGTTTTAAATGTCTGATGGATCTGCTGTACTTTATCATAGAACACTGTCCGTATATCTGTGTATTTGGGGCATTCTGTTAGAAAGTGCAGTTTCCGTCTGATTCAGATCAGTGTGAACACAGTCTCCAAGGGGCCATTATTTGGAGACAACTAGCTAGTGTTGTTTAATGTAAAAAACACTGTCGTCATAATGATGTTAACATTTTTATCCTCAAAATAATAATGATGAAGTATAAAGTGTAATTAAACACTTTTATAAACAGTTTTTTATAAAACACTTTTTTACAATGTTATTAAAATAATTATAAACATTTATCAAGTGTGTTTGTAATGTGTTTTAGCTTGACGTGTCAAACCATCAATGGCTCAATGTTTTTCTTTTCTTTTCTTTTTTCAGGGCATCATTGATTACATCTTCTACTCTCAACCTTTGCTTAACGTGCTGGGCATACTGGGTCCCTTGGACCTCCACTGGCTCCATGAGAACAGTATCACTGGCTGCCCCCATCCCCACATCCCCTCTGATCACTTCTCCCTGTTTGCACAACTGGAGCTGCTCCTGCCCTATCCGCCTGCTGTCAACGGCATTCATCTGCCTGGTCGCAGGTAGTTCTCCGAGCCAGCAGGGGGAGCTCCGGCCCCTACCTCCTTTTGCTCTCATAGTGGAGAGAGAATGAGGCAAGGGCTGTTGTGTATAAATCTGAATCCCTTAGGAGGAGATGGGGTATGGCAAACTTTTATTCCCACGGATTTTAACTGAAGCAGACGTTAATGTCAGTCTTATCTCTACCATCTCCCACCCAGTTTCTTTTTGTTTTGTTTAGTTTTTCCTTTTCCTCCCTCTGTTTCTGGGCACAGTTAACATTCTGTCCTTTTTTTTTCAAAACCCTAAGGGCCCTGAGTGATCATGTAAGTTTTACCTAAAGACAGAAAAAAGCTTTTTTTATATAAATAACTAAATGGCAATATCTTTGAAACACATGCAGGGAGTCCAGATCAAGCGAGTTATCATGAAGCGCATCATTTTGATCATGCTACTATAAGGCCAGTTTAGAGCAAGCAGCCGAATTTGACAAAAAAAAAAGAATTTCACCAGCTTAGGTCAGATAGTCCGATCTCCAGGAGCAACCCTTTAATCAAGGGATTTTAATGTGTAAAGAGAGCTGGCTGAACTCTCACATTTGCACTCAGTGGTGCTGAGGCCTCTCCATGGATGCTCTAGCTGTACACCAGAGACGGCTTTGCACGGCTCACCATCACCGGGTCTACCGGGCCTTGTCTGTTTTTATAATTAAGTCCATTGGATGCCAGAGCAATTGTACCATTTTTATTCATGCTTTTAAGAAAGCAACTTTTCAAGAGCCAAAATGGCCGACTTATGAAGTTGTCTAGCTTCATGTGCCATAGAGCCCTACTTGAACTGAGGTGCTCGCTGTTCTGGTGCGTACAGCTGAGAAAGGATTTCAGTGAAGAGAAATGATCTGGAATGGCCTTCGCAGCTGGGGAAGTTTGGCAGGAAATCATGTTAAGATGCTGAGAATGTTAGAACAGGCAAAGACAAGCTCATCCCACTCATAGACCGATAAATTAAACGCTCCATGTGACCTGTAGACGCCTCGCCCAGCCAAGACTCAAGTTCACTCCTGATTTTTATTTATTTACTTTTTTTCTTCTGTACATGATTGTATACAAGCAACAAAATTCCTGATCTACTGGTTTTTTTTTTTTTTGTTTTTTTTTTTTGTACGTACACTTTTAGATTTGGATGAAAAATGATTGTATTGTAAATTAAAGTTAAGTTTCTATTCGTTTTAGATGTTTATCCTAATGAACATTCAAAAGACCAGCGTGTGTAAAATATATTTTTTTCAGGTTTCTGCTGTGTAAAGTTGCACTTGTCCAGGTTCCAATTTTTACCCAGTGCACCAGTTTATTTTTTATTATTATTATTATTATTTTGGATGTTTAATTCCACTGAGGCAGATATCTGGTGATGTGGTCCTGGTACCCGCTTTGATATTCAAGAACATGCATCATTGTGCCTCACTGATTCGTTTCTCTAAGCGCACTGCCAGTGCTATCAGTGAACACCTGAACAGCCTCAATCTCTCTGTACATCTTCACCATCCTTATACAATATCCTCATTTCTGTTTGTTTTTTTTTTTTTTTTTTTTTTTTTTTTTGTACGTACACTTTTAGATTTGGATGAAAAATGATTGTATTGTAAATTAAAGTTAAGTTTCTATTCGTTTTAGATGTTTATCCTAATGAACATTCAAAAGACCAGCGTGTGTAAAATATATTTTTTTCAGGTTTCTGCTGTGTAAAGTTGCACTTGTCCAGGTTCCAATTTTTACCCAGTGCACCAGTTTATTTTTTATTATTATTATTATTATTTTGGATGTTTAATTCCACTGAGGCAGATATCTGGTGATGTGGTCCTGGTACCCGCTTTGATATTCAAGAACATGCATCATTGTGCCTCACTGATTCGTTTCTCTAAGCGCACTGCCAGTGCTATCAGTGAACACCTGAACAGCCTCAATCTCTCTGTACATCTTCACCATCCTTATACAATATCCTCATTTCTGTTTGTTGGGTTTTTTTTTTGTATTCGCTAGCGAACAACCTATTCTTCTGATCTTTTTGGGTGTCTACAAAGTCAAGTAAAGTGAGTGTTTCTGCTGTGCGATCCGCGCTCGTGATTTGGAGAAATCCTATCATTCTCCAGTAGTTTCTTTTTTTATTTCTTTTTCTCCCCCCATTTGAATTCTCTATTTACTGCCACTTTTCCTCTGGACTCAGGCAATTAACTTTTAACCGTATATTTTGCTTGTATATTTCTCTTTGTTTGGATCTTGTTCTGTATTTCACTTCCTGCTAGATCACGGTTATCTCCTTGTGTCGTGCCATCCAATGCATTCTGCCACAAGGCCAAGTGTAAAGCTCGATTTACTACTGTAAAGCCTGCTCTCTGACCTAATGAAAAACATACATGGCTTCTCTAAATGCAAGGCTAGAGTACCGTTACTGTAGCGTGGTAACTTCGTCTACGGTGGCACTGTTGTTTATTTTGCCGCGTACTCTCAAAGCCAATTTTTTTCCGTTTCCCCCTCCCTAATGAATTTGTCATGTTTTTAAGATCAAATGGATTGACAAGCACTTATTGTAGATCACTGGTGCAGCTACTCATTGCTTTTTTTTTTTTTTTTATGAAGACACTTTTGCTATGAGGCAGAAGTCAATTTTAATGACTTTTATCAAGCAAGAGTAAATAGATGAACTAGGGAGGGGACCATCTTATAGTTCCCCTTTTGGTGTCCCTTTTTATTCCGTACATTATCTCTGTCAGTTTTGTTTTTCTTCTGGTTATTTTTAATTGAAAGCAACTTGTCTGGTTATTTTGGATTGCTGATGGTGTTGTAGTAAAAAGATTTTTGTAAAGTGTGAATAAATAATGTATCACGTTTCCTTTCTTTGACATGAATTGTGTTAAAGTATTGTCTAATAGTTTGTCATTTTGATTTTGTTTTGTAATACACAACCAAATTTTTTGTAAAAATGTTGGCACACTGAATTATAGATTTATATTGTTGCTAACCTTCACTTCAAGATACCTTTTGAGAAGGAAAAAACATTTGTCAAAGAAATCGTAGAGAGTCACAAATAAATAAAGTGCTGTCATTTTGTCACCAAACCATTTCAACTTTGACCCTGAGCTTTGTGACATTTCACCTTGTTTGAGAGCCAGTTAGTTTGAAGCGTACAAATACTTTTGGGTTGTGGTAAGAGTAGCAGACACTTTTATTTCTCTCCCGTGTTTCCTACTTTCTAAGGTGTTTTCTTGCTATTGATTTCCAGAAGAAAGTAAGGTTAAGGGTAGATGAGATGGAGAAATCTTTTTATATTAGCAAGTGTTCTTGTTCTCCTTGTGTTCTGTGCACTATAGTGTCACCGACCTCTGAAAAGGTCACTAAATTGTGCATGTTTAGATAGTTGCCATCGTTGTTTGGAGGAGTTTTTGTTTCCTTTGGGTCAAAGGCAATGGTTTCAGGTGGTTTCTTGTGCACGACAAGCAAAAACAGCATAATGCTAATCATGTCAACATGCTCAACTAGGCAATAATGACTCAGCCATTTTCCCCTTTTCAGATCCATTTGAGCAGATGTTTCTGGCTTTACCATAGAAATTCTTTTCATTTCCTTTTCCTGTATCATAGTCAACTTTTCTCTGTCAGTAGGGGTAGTATTTCAATGGTCAGGATTGTGGTTGAATCAGCTGAGAGTCAATAAGTATTTAGGTAATGTCACTATATAATGCACTGGACCAACTCTTGTTTACCATTTATGGAATACCAGCATAAGACTTGCACAATGTAAAAAAAAAAAAAAAAAGAATGTTGCATATATTAAAACAAATATGGGAAAAGAATATAGATATAAAAAAAATCAAATAATGGCAGCTGTTTTTAATTCAATATTAAGTGTTGGGGATAAAAACCTAATGGTAAACAAGGCGTTTTGCATTTCACTGTTTCTCCAGTTCTCTTGGATCTTTGAGTAGTGATGTGTTTATAACAGGGTCAGCTTGTTTCCTTTACACCTATGTATTTTTTTTTTCCTACTCATGGTAAAATAAATTCTATATCTGTTTCAGTCTTGGTGTTCTGTGTTTATTCTCAGATTTGGTTTTGAAGTTGATGCACATCATGTAGGCTACAAAAGTCCTTGGAGTTGATTTCTTCAGAGTTCAGTACCACAAAGCTTATCAACTTGTAACAGGTTAACTGCACATCTGCCATTGTTTGAATGGCATTGAACTCATGTCATTGGTCGAGCTTCCTGCAATATTTTGATAGCACACATTTGTTGTTTGTGCAGTTTTAAGGAAAATCAACCTACAAATGACTTTTACAGTTGTCTCTGCATATTAAGGTGGAAATGGAGATTTTAAGATGGTAAAATGACATGCTTCAGCTGTTTCCTCCTAACCTACTTTGTTTTTCCCCAGGCTGCTAGGTATGTCTGTCCTGATGTGGTTCACCCAGCAGATGGAGTGCATGTTTCAAAGCACTGTTCATGTTTTTTTTCTTCTCAGTTATGAACTCGTCTCTTTTTTCCAGCTATAAGCTTGGCAAGAATTGTCTATGATTGTAAAAAAGCTCTAGGTATGAAAGCACAACCACATGACACTATAGAGAAATTACCTATAAGATTTCAAAGTTTTGTGAGATTACAGTGCGTTTTTACCAGACAGATAAATATGTATTATATTGTCTACAAAATCCTCAAATTGACCGTCTGTATGAATGTGTAAACAGAAATTTTCCCGCAGTTCCATTGTGATTTAATGCAATTACCATGGAGACAAACCCTCCTGCAAAACGATCATCACAGGAAGCAGAAACAGTCAGTCTTGGGTAGCAATGTGGCAAACATCTGCAGCACTGAGATGAATAAGTCATGCCAGTCATAATTTGTTTAAATTTTGTCAATAAGACAGCTAAGTGCTCCAAATTATGTATTGCTGAGAACCTGAGATACATAATCATGACCATATGCACAATGTGGAAAATATCAAAGCAATATCTTCTCTTGACCTGTCTCTGAGACGGTAAGAAAAATAAACTCCAGACGATTACCTGGGTGACAATATTTCACATTAAATTTATAGACATAGATAGATACGCACATCCATACCTACATAGATAGATATATAGTCAATTTGATAGATGGATAGAGTGAGTGAGTGAGTCTATTTGACTGACGGATGGATAGATAGATAGAGTGAGTATTGGATGGATAGATAGAGTCTATTGGACAGATGGAAAGATGGATGGATAGATAGAGTGAGTCTATTTGAAGGACGGATGGATAGAGTGAGTCTATTTGACGGACAGACAGATAGAGTGAGTCTATTTGACAGACGGATGGATGGATAGATAGTCTATTTGACGGACAGATAGATAGATATAGTGAGTCTATTTGACAGATGGATGGAAGGATAGATAGAGTGAGTCTATTTGACGGACAGACAGATAGAGTGAGTCTATTTGACAGGCGGATGGATGGATAGATAGATAGAGTGAGTCTATTTGACGGACAGACGGACGGATAGATAGAGTGAGTCTATTTGACGGACGGATAGATAGAG